CTCTTGTCTTATGTGGACTTTATATGCAGTTTGAATATTAATGTTATTTATCTCACAATGTATTTGTTATTTGTTCAATTTGCATAAGAAAGATGTGCACTAAAAATCTGGTCATGTGGATAACTGTTACTCTTTTCATATATAGATTTTATATACACATTTTGAATTTAATTCTATTTCTCATGCACTGTATATGTTAATGGTATTTTTTGTTGTAGTTGCATTTTCTAATTTCTGGATATAATTCTAGCACTACACTTTCTACATTTATGATTTTATATCTTGTATCAAAATACTGTATAGTGTTAGCAGCTTCACTTTTTTGTGGATTCTTTTTGTTTTACACTAAAATGTTACCAAACACAGATTTTAAATGGACTACAAACATGTAATACTACTTAACAATTGGTAACCACCCTATTACTGCTACAGGGCAGCTGCTGTGTGCAGAATCGCACATATATATGTGATCCTGCACTTCCTGGTAGGGCGCATACAGAAGCCGATCTGCGGGTGACCGCTGTCACCTGCTAATCGATGAGGAAAAAGACAGAACACAGCTCTGCCTATGTAAACAACGCAGGGCTGTGTCCTGTCAGTGGCGATGTGATGGATTCTGTTTCCCTGCAAAGCAGGGAATAAAATCCAGCACATCCCTTAGTTAAAATACCACATACTACACATATAAACACTGGCTAGGCACACAGTTAACCCTTTGATTCCTCTAGACATTTAACTCCTTCCCAGCCAGTGTCATTAATACAGTGACAGCGAACATTTCCAAGAACTGTGACGAATGCGGTGCCTTACCCCTGCTTTTCTCACCAACTCGTGATAAAGGAACAGCCAATCTTACACCACGCTGTCACTTGTGTAACAATGTCTTTCTTGGCTGCACCCTGCATAAAGATATTCCAGCTCACAGGACCACAATCTAGATGAGCGTGATTGTCACTGGGTTAAGTTACTAAGCAATTAACTATTTAAGCTACCACCAGCCCCGTTTACTGAGAGGGGAAAGTCATAATCCTAGCAACACCAGCTATGATTTTAGATTAAACGTCTGTCACATACACTCAGACAGGTATATTCAGAGAATTATTATGTATAGTAGCACAAGAGACAAGGATTCTTTAGTTTGCATGAAAAGTTTTAAAGGCAAGTTCAACACTTTTCCAAATAGGATTTAATACTGAAAAGGTCAAATACAATATTTACATAAAAATTTGTTACAAATAAAGGAACCATAAAGCAACAGAGAATTAAAAAGCAACTGAAAATGGAGAATATTTGCAAAGTATTGGTTTTAGCAGCGTTCAGTCAATAAGCAAGGCGTTATTGGCTGTCATAACTTGACAGATGTTCCTTTGTTGATGATAAATCAAGAGCTATCAAGGGTCCTGACATTTCCATTTTCTGTGGTATCAAAGGGGTGTTGCCAGAGACCATCTGACCAATTACCTAGTTTAAGGGGTGGTGGTCACCACATTTTTTGTTTTCAAGCCCTCCCTTACACACAGTTTTATACTAATATTAATATTTTCCAATATGTATGTTGCATTCTGGAAACTGATAGATTATTGTTCAGCATTATATTTCATGTCCAAGGATACCAACCACCCAGGAGGGAGGAGACTGCTTTCTCCCCTTTTGTATATGCTAGCTTAGTCATGTATGACCTTGATTTGCTTGGTATGACATTCCCCATTCAAATATATACTTAATATTAATGTGTCTTGGTCTTTTTGGATTTTTTGAATTATGTGTGCATTTTGTTAAGTTGCAGATTGAGCAGAGGTTGCCCATGCCTGGCTGCTTTCTGGTTAGACATTTTATAGCATGCCATGCATCCCTAGAGCTCTAATTGCTCTACACATCTTGTGTGACAGGACAGATGGATTTTACCATTGTTTTACATCAGGTCAGAGGGAAGTGGTAATCTGTAGAGTGTTTTATGGCCCATAGAAACAGGCATCCTGCCAGGCCTCTGACAATGCCCATGTGCTGATCAAAGGATTGATAAGAAGGTCTTCATATCAGCTAACAGTTTGTGTATCTGTAAACTGAAGGACGGAGGGTGGGAAAAAGGTCACTGGGCTATGCCTTCCTAAGCAAGATGGCACAGGAGACTTGTGACATGACAAAATGGCTGCTACACATGCTGCTATTCGTGTGCTCAGTATGTACAACCAATACAAGAACTGCAGTAGCACAGCATAGAATAATTGCAGTAGCTCATACCAAATAACACCGGGTGTAGCAATATAGCAAATATGGCATCCATTAAGCAATGATGCAGAACCAAGAAAAGATAATACAGTATGGTGCATGTTGGATCAATAGGTATAAATAACTCTCAGCAATTTATTACAGTATTTTGCTATGTAGGTCACATCCACAATGCAGAAAACATGGCAATAGTACCACTGACAAAAATGACCATGAGTACTAGATCAAAGACAAGATACCAAATAATAAAGCACAAAATATTGGTCAGCAACTGTGCAATCTATGTGACATCCATACATTCCAAGTATCAGTAAAGGATAGCAGTTTATTTTTTTTAATTGCATAAAGGCATTCCAGAGCACAAATATGGATAAGATCATCAATGATATCTGAAATATTTGGTATGTGGAGAAATTTGCAATTTGATGTAATGTTAAGTTTGGCCAAAAGTAAAATATGTATTCTAAGCATTCTAGTTTTATAAGGAATAGAGTCTATATTGATTATCAGAAGTGCCATGGCTATATCTGGAAAAATAGGAAAAATAGAATTCTAAGCATTCTAGTTTCATAAGGAATAGAGTCTATATTGATTATCAGAAGTGCCATGGATATATCGGGAAAAATAGGAGTCTGGTTCCAATAGGATCTGATCGAGGAGCAAGATATGTACTAGTGATCCAAGCAAGCCACAATGATGCCAGCAAGTAGAGATATCATTAGGATATATCTTATGGAGTTTTATAAGATGGTGAGGTACCATCTATGTAGGGTTTTATGGAATAGTTGCCAGCGGTCTGCACATAGTGTGGCTTTTTACGTTGTTTTAATAGATGTGTGCCAGAGAGTGTCAGGGAACAAGAGACCCAAATCTCTTTCCCATTTGAGAATTGTTGTCATTTTAGTCATGAGACCTACTGGGACCTTTGTAAAATAAAGAGATGCCCATTTTTTGTGGAACAATGGAATTGTAAAAGTGAAAGAGACTTGCTGTGACAGTGTATATTTTTAGTATTGATCACTGTATTAGCGTTACTGGTTCCCACAAACTGCCAGTTATTATTATACAGGATTTATATAGCGCCAACAGTGTGCTCAGCGCTTTACAATATAATGGGAGATAATAAAGCAACAATACACTTCAATACAAGAGGGATAGGAGGGCCCTGCTCCTTGGAGCTTACAATCTAGGAGGTGTTAGTTTGTCCGCCAATATTGCAGTCCCACTATGAGTTGCTGATTGGTGCCATTACTAGTATAAAAATAAATAAATAAATAAAAATTCTATCATATATAGCCTTGTAGACACTTTAACCTTTGCACAAACCAATCAATATAAGCTTATTGGGATTTTTTTAACCAAAAATATGTAGCAGAATACATACTAGGCTAAACTTATGAAGAATCTAAATTTTTTTATTTTTTTTATTGTACATGTCTTATAACTGAGAGTACAAAAATTATTATTATATTTTTTTTTTTTTTACAAAATTGTCTGTCTTTTTTGGTTTATAGCAAAAAAAAAAACCCAATGATGATCAAATACCACTAAAAGAAAGCTCTATTTGTCGGGAAAAAAATGACATACATTTCATTTATGTACAGCATTGCATGGCCATGCAATTGTCAGTTAAAGTAAGGCAGTGCCATATATAAAAATGTACCTTGTCAGGAAGGAGGGTAAATCTTACGGAGGTCAAGTGGTTAAAAAAGGAGGGTGTTGCCAGATGAGTCAGCTGTCTTTTTTTTTTTTTTTTGAGGATAGTTCTAGAATGAGAAGTGGCATAATGATCTGTGCAGAAATGCTAAAAAAAGGTTCCTGTAATAGGAATTATTATATTAATAGGTTCCAACTGCTTGTTCCAGCAGTCTTCACTCTATTCAAGAGCTACAGTTCCTGGAAAATCCTCTTCATCTGATACACTTCTGAGAATGTTGCAATCCTAATCACCCATTGAGCCAGTATTTACTTCTGCTAGCTCCTACATCACCGGAGTGGTGCCACACACAGTAGTGGTGTATAAACTAATGAACAATCCATTGCTCCCTTGCTTTTGAAGACTCCAGTGACTGTCATCCATACCCTTTTTCTCTGCTTTGTAAGTCATTGACAAAGAACAAGCATGTGTATATCAGATTACAAGAGCCATGACATGAACATACTTGTTTCAGATCAATGACTCATTAGGTAGCAAAGCCAGGGACAGAATGACAGACCCAGAATCTGCACCTTTAAAAAAAGTCAACCATAGCTGCTTACATATTTCTGTCTTACAAGACTACCTTTAACAGTGTCTGTATTTTTGATGCCAATCTACCTGATCTGTACAGTGTTATAAAGTTGTTTTTCACCCAAATGTGTATTTTATTTATAGCAGACATTGGGCTATAACACATAGGAGTCTAAGTGCGACAACTGTTATCTTAACAAAACCACAGGACACAATAAATCATTTTCCAAAGTCTTGAGTATCATATTTATTTGGACTCTACTTCGCACTTGCTATATCAATACTTGCCCAGGCAAACTGTACTGTTTTATTTTTGACTGTCTGTTGCGGTGCATTATCCCACGTGTAGTATTTCACACAATGATTTGTATTTTGTTAGGACTTCCCATTCACTTTGAATAGGCTGTGACTGCACACAACAGATCAAAAACTGGACCTGTGGACAGAGTGCATGTCATGTGTTTTGGTGTGCACTGCAGTGTGGGTTCATAAATTAAAAGCACTACAACAGACTGCATGAAATTAGTAACTTAATGTGTTACTAAACCCACAACAGTAAAATCAGTCTGTATATGCAGTAAAGCATGCTTGTTATACTCACTGTGGAACCTGAGGGGTTGGCCATCTGCATTTTGTGGCTGTTTGATCCTGTCTTCTCTGATCCTCCCCCTTCTTTTACTGTCCCCAGTCCATCTGCTGATAGTACAGAGCCCTAGGATTCACTCTGCACATGCTCAGTTCAGTGTGTATTGCTAGGTTTTTTTCTTTGGGAGGGTACATGTGATCGGCACAGGACTGGTCATCACTGTCCAGACAGAGGGTTAGGGGTTATGCAGCCTCATAGAACAGTCAGAGAAGAATGAAAACTCCTCCTACAAAATTTTAACCAGTGCTCAGCTGGGCACTGATAGAAGTCACAAGACTGCTATATACTGCTGATGAGAAAAGGTATTTAGCAATTTATATTTAATAAAATTATGGCATTTCCATGTTCTATGGATTGTGGGAGACCAGATATAGTGAACGCAGGGTCTTGGGTTTAGTAACACTTTAAGCTGCTGTGATATGCAGTAAGGCATGCATTATACTGTGAATATGTCTCAAGGGGGCCTTATGGATGCAGTGAGGCTGAAGTCTCCTTGAAGATGACCTTTACAAGAGGGCCTAATTAAAATAGAAAGGTGAACAGCTATATGGCAGATGAGCTTTAATATTAAGGAGAACCTCTGAGTGAATCAATAATGGAAAAAGATCTGAGGGTCCTAGCAAACGTATGCAATGCCAAGCTGCAGCAAGCAGGGCTAGTAGACTATTACCATGCATTAAAAGGGTATTCACTAAAGAGATAAAACTATAATTCTACCTCTTTACAGAAACTCTGGTTCAGCCACATCTTAAGCATGCCATCAAGCTTAGGTCACCCAAACTGGAGAAAGTCCAGAGAAGGGCAACAAAGGTAATAAGGGGGTAGTTAAGAAGAATGACTCCCTGGAGAAGAGGTGCTTGAGAGGGGATATGATAGCAATATATGCATTTCAGTAAAAAAACACTAAAGCTAATTTTAACTGCTTGCCCGCCGCCCTATAGTAGAAGTACTGCTACAGGGCAGCAGGGCTGTGCAAAATCACATATATATTAACAATGATTTGCATCTCCGGGCAGGGGGCATGTGCGTGTGCGCCCTGTCCTAGTCACGCCACCATTAGTGGCTAGAGATAGCAATCACTGGGTCCCGGCTGGCGATTCCCCATCGCCACTCAGTGATTGTCGAGGGAAGCTAACATTGAAGAGACCTGTGTGTACCCAACACAGGTCTCTCTCCTGTCAACAAGGACATACTGCTTTGTATTTCTCTGCACCGTATTGCAAGCCGTGTTGCGGGAAGGAGGGGTAAATCCTCTGGAGGGCAAATGGGTTAAGGAGCACAAACAATAAAACATCCATTTTTTGGTAAAATATAAAAGATGATGTGCTGCGTAAATAGATACCCAACATGTCAAACCTTAAAATTGCGTGCACTTGTGAAATGGCGACAAACTTCAGTATCCCATATTTTCCATAGGTGACACTTAAAAAGCCCCTACAGGTCTTCAGCCTAGAGTTATTCAGGAGCTCCAGGAGCTCTGGTTCTAGAATTACTGCTTTTACTCTGGCATGCATGGTGATATGTGACATGTGTATCGCATTTGACCTTTTCATGTGTAGGTGCATTCAATTCATAGATGCATGCTTTGGGGGGGTCCTCAAAAATTTTCGGGGGAGGGTTTGTGCTTGGGCTTAACATTAATTTTTTACATTTACATTTTTTTTTGTCTACCTAATTTTTTTCATCACATAGGGGACAAAGGGACCCCTATGTGATGCTTTTTGGTGACAGGCTCTCTTTAATGAGACATCCAGAGTCTAAAAGATCCTTGGTGTCTCCCCTGCCCTCCACTACACTGCATCACATCCGGTCCCCACTTTCACTTTCCCCAGCCTGTATGGCTGGAGAAAGTGAAAGGGGGGCCTGGATGTGATGTTTTACATGTCAATTCCGGGTCAGCAAGAAGAAGGGGAGGAGAGCTGATCCACTTGGCTCCCTCCCCTCTACTCACCTGCCATGCTGGTCCTGGGCCCAGGGATATATGACAGGGGCATGTGCGGGAGGAGATGATCATTGCTGGTGATGTTTGGAAGCAATCAGGTGTCTGCCACAGCAGATTGCTTCCATCTGACAGCTGGCAGTCGGTTTGTCAGATATACACATACACATACGGTGCCTGCAGCCATCAAGAGTGTGTGCAAAAACCCCTGCTGCCAGTTCCGTACAAATTATGGATCTGTCAGGGAAAGGGTTAAATGATGACTCTAGTATTGGGGGGACCTATTTAACCTAAGGTCTGTAAGAAAGACACATAGCCACACAATGAAGTGGGATGAGAAGCGGTTCAATCTTAAACTACATAAGGGGTTCTATACTGTTAGAGCAATATGGATGTGGAACTCCTTTTCACAGCTGGTGGTGTCAGCATGCAGTGTAGATAAATTAAATAAAACTTTCACAGCTGGTGGTGTCAGCATGCAGTGTAGATAAATTAAATAAAACTTTCACAGCTGGTGGTGTCAGCGTGCAGTGGGTTTACTCTGGTTTCCTCCCACGCTCAAACACATGCTGGTAGGTCAATTGGTTCCTGTCTAAATTGGCCCTAGTATATATAAATGTGAGTTAGGGACCTTAGATTGTACGCTTCTTGAGGGCTAGGGACTAATGTGAATGTACAATATATATATATCTATATATATAGTGCTGTGTAAATTGATGGTGCTGTATAAGTACCTGTAATAAATAAATATATGAACCTTTTTTAAAATACTGCTCTATGAGGTGTTGGGTTGTTTTTGCTATTTGACTATTTACAGATATTTACAGAGATACTTACCCCTTGACCACTTTAAAACTAATCGGGGCATGGCATAAGTTAGTGAACATATGTAAATATAAAGGCTAGCATGGCAACAAACTCTTACATCCTGATAAAGCGCTGGAAAGGATTAAATGAAGACATATTGGGGGAGATTTACTAAAACTGGAGAGTGCAAAATCTGGTGCAGCTCTGCATAGAAACCAGTCAGCTTCCATGTTGTATTGCTTATTAGAACAAGCTGAAGTTAGAAGCTGATTGGCTACCATGCACAGCTGCACTAGACTCTGAGTGCTCCAGTTTTAGTAAATCTCCCCCATTGTCTTCTTGCCCAGGTGATACGGGCAGATAAATGAGCACCCATGAAGATTGTGGTGTCCTGTGTTCCACTCCAGATTGACCTGTATAGCCTGGGCTTGGCAGATCCCCTTCCTAGGACATGACAAGCATTTGACTAGTGCAGTGGCGGCCTAACTGCAGGGATAGATTTTTTTTCTAATTCCTGAGGTCTACCTACAGAACCCTACTTGGCAATATGTTTTAAATAGCCAAATGGGGTTGTTCATAATGTTTTAAAGCAAAACAGCAATTGCTGCATACTAAGACAATGTATTCTAATTTTTAGTGACTGTGAGAAAAGGTGGTAGACTTATGTATATATTTTTCTAAATGAATTGCAATTTTTTAAATAGTTGCTTTGGGGGAACATAGTGTCCTTTTCACTATTCTTGCATTTTTTTTTTCTTATAGTGTGTGTTAACCCTTTCTCTGCATAAAAAAAATGTTACAGAGCGTGCCAACTGAGTGTATGACAGATTTAACTCTTTCTCTGCATCAACATTTTAGCCAGAGGATTGAACAGCATGCTCACTCCTTTCCTTCATCAAGATCATATTATCTGTGCAAATCCTACTGTAAAACCCATAGCCAGACTGGCAGGTATAGGATTCCAAATAGATGTAGACTGTGAGAGCTGATTGTTTGAAGCCACTGGGTACTGAAATAAGTGTAAGAAAAGTAGTTTAATTAGTCACAGGAATGACTACTTTCATGGGGAGTTTGGAAATACAGGGTTCAAAGCACTTACTGTTGGCCCATGTTTGCATACTGTTTCATTTTGCGGTTAATATAAAGCTGATAAGAAATAAGCAATAAAGTAGAATGAACAAGAAGAGTAATACCATGACTTGCAAATTCAATTTCCTGTAGCTAATCAAATTCTCCTTTTGGCTAATAAAGAAGCTTTTCTTGTTAAGCCATAAAATACCAGCAAGACATCTGAACATTGCAGCTCTTTGCACATGGTCATTTTGTCCTGTTAGGTAAACTGTTATGTTAACACGGTTTGAGGCCGCAACTCATTTATTTAGCCCTTTTGGGTCTGTTAACTATAGCATTGAGTGTGTTCTGTTTTTCCTATTTGATAAATACAATACATACTTGCTGATTCAGCCAGAAATTATGTAGTGAGCTGGTAAATTGTTGTGCTTCTTTCTAAACTTTCAGGGCCAGTTCGCACTACAAAAACGCACTCCAGATCAGGGGTGGACTGACCATTTGGAAACTCGGGCCCTGCCCGAGGGCCCGGGGTCAGTAGGGGGTCCCATGAGATGCCCCTGGTACCTTTTTTATAGGCTTTTTTGAGTTTGGGCAAGGACACAGGGGCCCCATGATCCCCCTATTGCCCGGGGCCCCATGATACCCTATTGCCCGGGGCCCCATGAGTTGTCAGTCCGCCCATGCTCCGGATACGTTTTTGCTTACAGTTCACACACCACACGCAGTTGCTATGTTCCAGTATGGTTCTGTGCAGAAAAAAAAGCAGCATGTTCTACTTTTTTTTCAGCACTGGAAACTGACTGGAACTGACTGCACTGGTGTGAACTAGGGTCATTGGAATACATGGAAGACACTGTTCATGCATTTTTGATGCAGAAAAAAAAATTGCACTGAACTACATCTAGTGTGAACTAGCCCTAAAGCTCTATCTACGGATTACAAAACACCCATCTCCTATATTATGGAGAGAATGAGGGGTAGAAGTGTTCTGCAGTCCTGTCTAAGGGTGAAAGTACTGCTTTGTAGATACAGTACAGTGAATGTGTACTTTCACCCTATGACATAAAGGTTGTTACTAGCAGGATAGCCATGTTAAATGAAAAAAAAATAGAAAATCAATGCAGCTACCTAATCACTGGTAAGCTG